GTAGGGTTGGAATTTACCTTTCGAGTTCGTAGAGCGAGCTCTTCCCGAGCAAATCAATGTTTAAGTTTCCAGGATTTTTCTTGACTTCTCCGATGATGTATCGAAATCTCGTCTGGCACCGTCAGTTCACAGCAGAATTCTCCGATTCTTTCGAATGACCTGGGTTGGACGTCAAGTGCACAGGCGCATTCACGAGCAACCGCGAACATTGAGTTTTCTGGAACTCGCCGAGCCTGACCTTTTCCTTTGGCTCTGAATATCAACGAAAGCAAATATTAGGCGATTTCTCAACAATATGCCAGAAAATAATCATTCAATGAAGACAGTTAATAAAATTTATTTCAGAGATCATTAAAAAGTTCAAATGGACTTATGTACATCTGGGAACAAAATTCACACTGATAATTGAGGCAAAAAAACATGGGTCATGAGGAAATCACAACTTGCATCAACCAAGCATCGCCGCCGACCAATCAGACGTCTCCGGCCAGTCGTCGTTCTTTCAGCTGTTGCTTCTCTTCGACATTTCTCATGATTTTTTGGCCGGCTTTTGAGATGATCGTAAAAAACACCATTCCACCAAATATGATGGCCGCTGAAAATCGATATATTGATCGCATTGATTGAGGAGTCGGTAGCGACGGTGTAGAACGTACCTCCTACGACAATCAATCGCCAACCAGGTTTCGTCAGCAGGAAGCCGATCAGGGCGACCACCTCCAATATGTACACAAAGGCAGCTATTACCTGAACGGGTGCGATTTTTCAGGTAAATATGTTGACATTTAGGCCTTATGAGGCGTCCCAATTTGTGGTGTCAGATAAGGGCATGGAAGAGCTCACTTGTCGGTGGAGATGAGAGCCGAGGAAGCTGCCCACTGGTCCCGAGACGGCCGCCACAGGTACCGAAAGCGCAAAATACTTCCATGCCATATCGGAGATATCACCCATCATGACGGCACGATAGAAGAAGCCGATGACGGCGTTAACTCCTGAAAACAGGACGGTGACGGTTCTTAACTGAAAGCCAGGTTTAGACCTTTTTAAACAGGGAAGGATCCGAAACCGTTCAGCTCGGTAGCGGCGCAGATCACCGGGGTAACAGGATGCACACGACTACACCCCTCTATCCTCTTTTTCGTAACCCCTTAAGCAGCGTAAGATCCTAACCTAGGTTTCTACCACACATTGTAAAGGTAAGCGGAGATGAGTAGTGAAACTTGAAGGAACCAAATCCCGACTCAAGTTTCGCCAAGACAAACAGGTCTCCCCTCCCCGGGTTGGGTAATTGATACCAGACTGGTTTGGGAGGATAAACACCAACTTATCCAACTGTCGGTCGTGCAGTTACTGAGTATACCGATTTACAGTCAAATATAGCTTATATCGAGCAAGAAGAATACATGGCGAATCACTAAATAGATCGAAAAATGACCGGACCGAATATTTCATCCTTTACCTTTTTGTTCAGAATACGGCCATTATCGTAATCCTAGTGAACTGCTGACCTGACCGATCAATAATAAAACTGAAACAAAAGCGGCGCGTTTAACATTGTCAGCGACGAAAAGCCAAGAACCATTTAGTGGCGCTGATGGACGAGTTACGCCGCGGCAATTTGGACGCTCGGACGAGTTCCCGCTTGTTGATTTCAAATTATGACACGATATCATCCGTCTTTTCCTATATTTAGCGTTCAATCACTTTGCATCACGACGTGTTGGCATGATTTCCTCGTCATTCAGCGATGGTCAATCGAGGGGCATGATTAATAGAAGAGGCGGAGTCTGTCGCAGGGCATGGCAATCGCATAGGGCCTTGAAGAGAAACGTCACTTTCTGTGGATTGGTACATTTCTCCAGTCAACGCACTCCAGAACAGATTTATAGAAAAAAATTGCCGAAACAGACCTTTAAGTACGACAGTGGTGGGTGTTGCTGTTTTTTCGGTTACTCGGAAAAGCAATGTGAGAATCGAGAAGATGCAAATATCCACACCAGAACCAGCGAACGAGTCGAACACTCCTAAAAAATCGATATATCGATTTTTGTAGCTCAATGAGGAGTTGGTGAGGGTTCACTGTAATCCATCCGCTAAACAATGGCAAGTTTGTGTGTTCAACTCAAACTTTCGACAGTAATGACTGCTACTAAGCGCCCGAACCGCGGTAGAAACCCGTTCACCAATTCTTCTGCGGTTGTGGAAATAACTGATGGGCTTTAAATTTGATTTATTGAATTATTAGGTACTTTCTTGACATAATTTCTTTGATTCAACTGACCTCCAACAAATCCGGTAAAGAACAGCACCACAGCTTTCCACCAGTAAAACTCTGGGATTTCCTTGAATGTTTTGCGTTTTTTGTGCGAGTTGAGAATTGCCAGGGCAATGGCGAAGGATGTCCAAATCGCCACGAACATCATTTTCTTCTGAGATCCAGTGAATAACGGATCGATCTGCAACGCAAGCTACTGTTGGCCAGCAATCAATTATCGATTTTTTGCGAAAACTTACGAAATGTACACCGATTATAAAACCGGGAATGCCTCCGAGCGTGCCGAATACAACAGCACGATTTTCGATTTTCACTTTCATAAATAGCACACACATCAGTGCCGAGGTCATACCTGAAAGATCAATTATTGATTGGTCTTTGTGAAAACTGTAATGGGCCTGCGAGTGGAAACTCAATATATCGATTGCTGACCGCAAGATTGGATCATAAGTGAGAAATCTCTGGCTATTGATGGCGAAATATGTAAGGCCAACGTCATCACGGGAAAAGCCACCGCTCCACTTCCTTCTGATGTTATTCCTAGAAAAACAGGTATCGATCGCGAAGGGTGGCTTGGAAATCAATATATCGATCACCTACCTCCAACAAAGGAGCCAAGGATCATCGTCACCGGCATATGCCAGTATTCAGGATACCATCGGAAGAAGTTGTATCGGATAGCGACCATCCACCAAACGGTCTTCAAAATCGTTATTGATTTTGTTTCGATGGAAAATATTGATGTCCCGGGTTACCTGCATAAGGACGAACGGAATGAGCATGGCAACGAATTTTCTGTATTTGATGAAGATCAGGTCCTCCAGTGTAGGGTTTTCCGGTAGAGTATGCAATTCGGCCTCTGCTTCCGTGTCCAGGTACTGCCCTGAACAGAGAAGCGATAGTTTATGGAATCAATTATCGATTATTCAAACGATTACCTTCTAGGAAATACTTTCGAAACCATCGTTTCACCTTTTGGCCACATGTGAGCGGTTGTGGTGGTACATAAGGTTGCTTTGAGACGGTGCCTAGAAATTTCTGGAATTTTTGCATATTTGTTTAGCTATAAAGAAATCATATAATTCATACAGTCGCATTGATAAGGAATAATGCGGTAGCATTACCTAAAGAAGCTGCATCTGCACTGATACTCGGTTCGATTGGTTTGACAGCGTCCATACCCATGGTGATTCACTGGAATACAGTAGACTCAGACAAAGAAAGCGGAAACCGGAAAACGAAACGAGTTAGGAGGGTGAAGTGGTACGATAGAAAGGGTCTTAAAATTGAATCGGTGCACTTACGGACAAGATACCCCTAATTTCTTCGCATGAGAATTCCCTTTCCTAGAGTTCATGTAGATTATGATATCACTTTGCAATCTATTGGCTGCTGATTGGACAGTTAATCAATAGAAATCAATTATTGATCAACAGAGAAAATCAATCGATAATCGATCAATACCTGTTCTAGCCCCTCCGTGGTATTCTGTTTGAATCCACATTGACATGACGCTCATGTGC